GTTCAAAGGCGTTTGCCTATATTTCCTTCAATAAATTTGACTTGACTTGACACACATTACCACATATCACAAAGGGCACATACGGATGTTAAACCGGCCAAAATCTACCTGATTTAATCCCCTCCCCTTAGCCGCTGACAAGCAACCGAAAGAGAAGAGTACCGCGGCGAACACAATAGTTAATTACAAATTTAGAAAAGGTCAGATGTTCTGGCAAGGCCGATTTTTCTTCTCGGCTGCAGATTTACTGCACTAATATTTCAGCAACCGTTACGCAGAAATACCGACGCGACAGAAAAACAAAGCAGTAGGGAGTTGACAAAGGAGTGACAGTGACTATGTTTGAAAAACCCTGCTGGGAGATGACTCCCATGACGGACCGAGTGGTGTATCGCCACTCACGTGGGAAACTGACTACTGTAAACTGACATCTGTGCAAGCCGGGGAGTGAGCCGATTACCCTGAAGTTGGTGATTTACTAGCCACCTCGCGACCCGTATAGAGTAATAAGGGACAAAACCTTAGAAGACGGAGGAAAGACTTTACTTAGGAGATAAGGTTTTACCCATTAGGTGGTGCACCGTTGGCACTACCAGCACAAATCTTGAAAACGGAACGCAATTAACAGAAGATCAACAGGTTGGCATCGAGTTAGTATCATTTGGAGTCATCTATCCCATGTGAGACCAATCGCCTGAGTCATACATCCACCTAACTGACACGGAGTATACAATCGGTTTGGGCAACCGACTATACTTTAAGGCATAACTATGCCCTCGAAGACCAACAATGTCATACTTAGAGGTATTCTTCACCGAATAATTGAGCAAGACAGCTTTTATTATATTGGCGGACCAATAGTGCCGCCGCTCAAAGGGGGCTGATGCGGCAAGTAATAAAACAAACATGAGGTAACGTACCAAACGAGAGAATGATAATAAGGAGACACCTCAAAACCCCGCTTCAGCCAATCCGAGAAGGTACAAACGTGCAGGAGGCGAATTGATGGACATACGGAAGACGGGAAGAGAAAATACACTCAGAAGAAAGCAATTATATTTTGGATCGGCCAGCCGGTGTCATAAAACGGCATTTTAACCCGCTGAAGGCAGACGTAGTGTACAAAAGATGTGTACAAAAAATCCAAGAGGAAGGGCAAGTACATGCACAGAAGTCTGCGCATACGTGCAGTGGAGGTCTCTGTAAATATGTGGAGGTTATGTTATATAGGGCTGTATAGACTTGGAAAACGAGAGAAACGTTTTGGGGGGAGGGAAGAATACAGCGATAGGAAGGCTTGCACACATGAACGCTGGGGAGAAAATACAGGGGTGTACAAGGAGCAGCGGGAAAAGAGCTGAAGGTAATATATATATATGTTTATATATACACGCAGGGGGCAAATACAGTTGGTAATCTCAGCATTGGTGCACAAAATTCACCACTTATATTAGTCGTGGGAATATTGGCGACATTGATTATCACAGACAACACGTGCGGGAACTAGGCAAAAATCTCACACACACAGGTTGAAATGCAGTGAGCGAGGTGGAATTTAAAAAGCGTCTTCCTTTAAAATACAAAATATTAGCTGCCTTGAAAATGAATCCCGTCTGCACAACGGGATAATGTGTATCTGCTGCTATGTTGAAACTTCTTTGGTCCAAGCTGAGCAAGGAAGGACTTGAACCAACAGTCTAAAATAATACCAAAAAAGAGAGAATTGCTTAGAGGGCAACATTGTGCAGAAAAATAAATAACGTTAAGATGCGCTTGGTAAGAAAATATTCTAAACCAAGGCTTCCAGAGCGGAGAAACAGAAGGGTATTAATAGAAGTTGTGCGAAGGTAAGTATAAAAGCAGGTCAAAAAACATTCAACTTAGCACAGTAATTATCAAAAGCTATTGACGGGACCGAGGCCTTCTGGTATGCTTTACACGGAAAAGATCGCGTAGAGAGTGGCAGTACCGATAAGGTAACTTACTTCAGGTTCGCATACTAATTTCTTCGGAAAGTAAACAAGGTAGGGGGAGTTTTTGAAGACCGACAAGGGTACAGAGAATGGTCACTTCTGACGACCCGAATGGACCGCAGATTCCCAACTTTAAGGCAATTGGGAAATACTACTTATCGCCTCGCCACTCACATAGGACGAAATACGCCCGAACTCAGCTACCGCAAAGTTAGCCCGGGAGTATAGCAGTGAAGGCGTCACTCAATCAACTAACGCCTGGTTCGAATCTTACGTGTGCAGCCCGGAAATGGACGGTCACTGTCTGATGACAGAAGTGTAAGCTAGAAACAGCCATTTCAGTGACTATGCCGGTATCAGCGAAAACTCCTCAATTACAGATTGCTAATTGCTGCAGCCACATGAGTGCACTGTAGACTCTCCACACAGATACCAAGCGGAAGTGCACATTCGTCATTACGACGGACACAAGAATTTGTTCATTAGAACCAATACAATGATGCGGTCAGTCTGAAG